TTTGTGAATAAGAAGCAGAAGTTATTTAATATAAATAATTACAGCTTTCTGGCTTCCAAAACCAAATTGCTGTATTCAGGAGGGAAGATGTGACAAGCCTTTGGAGAAGAGTATCCAACGACAGCAGGATTTCCGCAAGATAGTGTTCTTTTGCCATTATTGTTGTTTAATAAACAAATGCAAGTGTAGTTAAAACAAAGCTATCTTGTTCTGTCCTGTGCCAATGACCACCCAAAGAGTCAAAAGTTTTCCTTCACATAAAACCCGCTTCCGATGGAGTGGGCTAGTACTACTACCGTTACCAATCTACGATAAATCAGCTCTTGTACTGAGCTAACTTTTTTCCTCCAAAAAGTTTACATTTTCTTTGAATAGGAAACCCTGGATTAAACATAAAAAGTGAACTGGGGTGAGGGTTCCAAAGCAACATCAAACAAATATAATAGTGTTTTTCATCAAACTTAGTCCCTACATAAGAGACTTTCATCCAGTTTGTTTCGATCGACATCCGTTGTTATGGCCCTAACGCGGAGCCATCATCTTTTCTAAATTCCCAATAGCCATTGTCGCCAGTAGACTTCCATCTTGAATCAAAAGATTTGCAACATACAACTAACAATTCTTATTGCCAGTTAAAAAATGTCAAAGCCAAGGTATCAAACTTCATTCTTCTCGGATTATTCTATAACAGAGAAGGTTGTAAATCGAAACCTCCAATTTCGTACAGGGTTCATATTCCACATAAAAAATTTCGGCAATAACAAATCCAATAGTTCTTCCTGCTTCCAAATGTCTCTACAATACTATATATGTATATATTTACAAACATGTATTTATGTGTATGTACATATAACAGTCTAACCATCTGTAGCCTAGCATCCGTCCAAAGTTCTACTACTCGTAGTCAATGTCAGAGATCGATAGCCCTTACATGAAGACACACACACACTCACATACACACACTCTCCCATACACGTGCACACCTCCAAGCACAGTCATACTCACACATATAAACACCGTTGACTGTTATGCGGCAGGAAATCGCTCTTCGCAATTGAGTGACTTTTAGCGTTGTTGTCATTGATTGAAATTCGATATTACGAAGGCGTGTGCTGATGTAGGCATAAATTTTTGTTCATACCAAACTGAGTGTGCGGTTGAGTGTGAGTATGACTATGCTAGAGTATGTGCGTTTGTGGCCAAGGATGCTAGCGAGTTTGTTATGCCTGAAAGCAAATTACTGCTGAGTACTACAAAGTAGTAAATGTGCTCTCCCCTCTCCGCCGTCAGTGAGTGAACTCGTAAGCGCCGGCGTTTGTACATATGTATGTGTGTGTGTATTATATAATATATGCGGACGGTCATAAAACGTAGGCGGGTGAAAATCAATGCGCCATTTCATAAATTGTTATATCGCATAAAAACGACAATGAAGACACTTAATTTCAAAAAAGTAGCTACACTTGATTTATACATTGTTGTTGTAGTTGTTTCTTGTACATCTCCAGCGCAATAAAAGTAAATAAATAGTAATAGGTTGAAATTAAAATACATATGTACATATATTGTATTTGTTAAAACCTAGGCTGTGCAACAAATGATTTAATCATAAATAAAGAAGTGTCTGAATGCTCAGAGTGGCCGAACATGAGTCTTGAAGGACTTTTGCAGTCAATAGGATTTTAAGTAACTGTTCTTATATTTTTCCAATAAATGAAGAGATCTAAAGTTTTTTGCTAAGCCACCACCGACATAATTTTCTGAATACCAAAATGTCCTTTCCTTGGGGAATAAACCCAACTGTAAAGAGCATTTAGGTGGCAAGCTGTTAGCGATGCTTCGTACATCGCATTTTTGATACTTGTATCAATGTCAAGGATGACCTCTAGGGTTTTCCTAGAGGTAAACCAAGTAGATAAGAACACTGCACTTATTCCAAGGCTGTAATATAGTACTTCTTCTTTAATATCGTCCACCACGCCCGCCGGGTAATTAGTATTGCATACTGCCATTCGACAGACCGGTATTTCAGCCCTGGTTCGACCAACATTCAAGATTCGTCCCTTAGCAGGAAATGGCAAACACTCTGAAATCAAATAAAAGCTTCTCATAATCATAATCCATCGGCTGTTCGAAGGTTTCTGAGAAAAAACTGTAGATCCGTCCTTTGTTGGAAACATATCTCCACGTATACAACAAATTGAAAGAGGAGCTTCGATAGTTACAAAGCGTCACTCCTCTCTCGCTAAGTTTTTTATCAAGTCTTACACCGAGGTAACTTATAGAGCTGTAGAGAATTACAATTCTACCCCCTAAAGACGGTGGGTTAAATTGCTGAACTATAAAGAAACAGATCTCATATTTCAGCGCTATCAGCTGCGATTTCAAGTTACCTCTTTCTCACCTATGGTAGTCGACTGATATATTTCCCATAATAGACAAAAGAGGGATCCACAACTCTACAGATGGGCTTAAACGTGAGACAAGCATAGCCGCATGGTTCTTCCGTGATCAAGTCAATAACCCAGGTAATTTCAAAGTCAATGTATTCCAAGCAAAGATTGGGGCATTATGAGTACACGATTCAACGGGAAAATCTATCGGGTTTCTGGTAGACAACAAAGCGGATATTAAGTGTGTCAACACAAAGACCAAATGCATTAGAATATACAATTAGCTGACTATCGCGGGAATATGAAATGGGGCACAGTTCATGCGGATGTAGAAGGTAATGAAAAGGGGGTTGAACTAGCTCGTGCTGGTGCTGCTGTCGAAGGTGTACCCCTTAAAACATCGTCAGACCTTTCGAATGTTGTTTAAAACAGTGAACCATAGAGCTCTAAAGCCTTCGGAACTCTTTTAGTGTAAAGCGTGCCATTAAATTGTAGCAGAGCAGCGTGGCTGGTAGACAGACCGTACGCTAGGTAAAATAGAATATGCTGTATAGAAAGCATGCGTAAAGGATGACAAAATGCTGGAGCACTACCTTTGCGAGTGCCCAACATTCAGTCGATAGAGGCGTCACATCTTTCACGATGATCACAGCTCTAATCTCCTTGAGCTCATGATTGGAAGAAGCACAAATTATTTATCGTAAGCACCGAGTTGGGATGGGACACCACAATGAGGCTGCTAAGTGGCTTATTTGGCGACTCTTTGCGGTAAAGTCTTTAAATTCTCTCTTTCAATCAACCAACCAAACAAGCCAGGAGGTCGCTGTAGGTGGCTTGCATTTCTCGAGTTTCATGCTACAAATATATAGAGTTGATATTCCAAGAAGCGAGTGCAATCAGAAAACTTGTCTATTTAATTAAATTTTAATAGCATTCGAACTTATGACCCTTCGCATGCTAGTTCGTACTACTCGGCTACTACAGGCTTGACTTGAATTTGAATTATATAATTACATGTGCGCCCTTCTCTATTATGTATTCCCTCATTATTTCCAGTTAAACTACGGAGGTGTCGGGCACGCCCACTCCAAAGCAATATGAGGATATCCTTTAGCTATTATTAAGTGATGTTAAACGAAAAGCGCGTACGTGAATATTTCAATGTGTACACTGAAAAAATAAGGAGTAACCAGAAACACTTCTATTGCATATGGCTCAAGCAGCTCACAACTTGCGCTCTCAGACAAAATATCCTGTGGGTAGCCAACAAACATTTGTTTGGAGGCGAGCTAAAGTAAGAATGCCAATCTCCTTGTGAGTGTGCGTAGGATTTGGAACCCACCGCATAAAATTTATACTCAAAGGGAAAAGAAAAACAGAGCTCGGATGGGGAACCCCACTTTGACGTCCACTGCAAACGTTTTAAGGACCACGGCTTGAAGGTATGCACTTTATATGTACAGTTGCTTGATTAAGAGGGTTGGTGGTTTCATAAAACTTGACATCACCAAAGTCCAAGAAGTGCTATGGATGTCTCAAAGAAAGAAATGAGCAGATCTTTGCGGCTGCAGAATTTGTTGCTGTATTCACAGTGAGCGAGACTCCGCCGCCGAGTACTGGCATTCGCTCCGATGTATGAACGACTTACCATAAGCCTCATCAAAGAAAAGTTTTTCAACATATCTCTGAATTTTATCCACACCCTGACGGAGTACTTGCCGGTTTTAAAGTCTGAGTGGACAAACAGTCGGAAATTTCAGCTACCATGTTGAAACATCCGCAAGTGGGTTGAGGCTGATCGACTCCGCCGAGGGCCGAGATTATTGTAGTACTAGATTCCACAACAAGAAAATATATCAAGCTATTGGGCTGTCTCCAGATCGAAAAACTCACAACCATATTGATAATGTTTTAATAGACAGACGACATGTCTCCACTGTTCTAGATACGCATACGTTCTGAGGACCTAACATCTAACATAAGCTGGAATCACAGCAGTTCGAAAGGTAGAGGCGAAAAGCTGCCGTAACTAAAATATGGTATCGAGTAACATCTTATAGCAACCAAAGAGGTGCTCCAGAGTTCTGAAGTCCAGAGTACACTGTATTTATAGAGGGCGCATTTTTCTGCCTGCTGAATCGTAGTGAAAATTAAAATCGTGATATGGCGAACTTGCTTCTTCAGACGTTTTATTAACCAACCGTGAAGAAGTCCAAATAACTGTTGCCCGCCTGAAGAACAAAAAAGGGCGAAGTCAGCGAAGAACTACCAAAGTGGTCGAATGAAAGCATACCCGATGGTATGCGTGGTAGACTAAAACATGTGAAGGAATGTTTTTTTTTATTTTTTCTTTCAGTGTACCATAATACCGTGAAAAAAGTTCATGACTCGCCAGAAGTCCATTTGATGATAGTGATTATGAACAAGGGTTGGACACACCTCGATGGGCGGTTTAAATGAGCTCAACATTTTTATTGCTTTTCCCCTGCAATTACTCATTTAACTTGATCATACATAATTGAGAGAGCTTCGTGCTAGCCTTACAGCCTATAAGTATGCTAGGCTTGACAAAACTTACGTTCATTTGAGTTACTTCTAGCGCCCAGGATGTCAATTAAGTTTCTAACTCAATCCTATCCAACAGAGAAGAGTCTTTTCTTGATACCAAAATTCGTGCTACGCATCGTTGGTTTCTATCCGGAGCAAGAAAAATCTACGATAAGACGAAATGCTTGGACAATGTTCAATTTGATCATGCTGATTTATGGTTCGTACGCCGAGTTCATGTACGGCGTACATTATCTCTCGATCGATGCGGTGCGCGCCTTAGATGCACTATGTCCAGTCGCTTCCAGCATAATGTCAGTAGTGAAGCTAAGTTTTTTGTGGTGGCATCGCGTTGAGCTGGAGCGTTTAATAAGGCGTGTGTCTGTGCTAACAGCGGAACAAGATAGTCGCTTGAAGAACAATTATAAGCGCCGTTATTTTACAATTGCGACAAGATTCTCAGCGGCGTTACTGTGCCTTGGTACTTGTACGAGTACTTTGTACACTATCAGAGCAGCTTTGGCGAATTATTTCAGCTATGTGCGTGGTGAGAATGTACCATATGAAACGCCATTTAAGATGATGTGAGCTAAAACTGAGTTTGCCGGCGAAAATATTTGAACACTCTAATACTTGCTCTCTCTCTCTCCCTCTATTTCTCTCTACAGCTTTCCACAAACTTTACTCTCCAAGTGGATCTTTCCCGTCACCTTCACATTCTCGCATTGGCATGGCTATATTACCGTTGCGGGATTTACTGGCACAGATGGTCTCTTTCTCTGTTTTTGTATGTATTTCGGCACACTTTTGAAGGCTCTACAAATTGATTTGAAGGATCTGTTGAAGGATATGGACTGTGGTCAGCACGAGGGCTTGTCCGAACGAGATATTGAAGAATGTATGAAAAAAACCGTTATGCGTCATAATGAAATTATCGATTTGATTGGGGATTTCTCGGCAGTTATGTCGAGCATAACCTTGACGCAATTTGTGTTGTCGAGCGTCATAATTGGTACTTCTGTGGTGGATATGTTGTTGGTATGTTGGAAAAACGTTTTACGAATTTGCTCATACACATACATATTTAACTATTGTTTCCTTATTTTAAGTTCTATTCAAAATTTTTTTCATATATTTTTAATCCGTAGTTTTCCGATTATGGCATCCTTCTCTATTTTGTTCACGCTTTAGCGGTTACCACTGAATTGTTTCTATATGGCATCGGTGGCACCACTGTAATTGAATGTGTGAGTTTTTGTATGTTTTTCGTAGCAAAACAAATTGTTTTCAATATATCCGATTTTTTAGAGCTCTCAGCTGGCTACTGCGGTCTACGATAGCAACTGGTATAGTCACAATGTGGAGGTTAAAAAAATGGTATTGTTTATGATCTTACGCACACAAAGGAGCTTAGTCATAAAGGTACCGTTTTTCGCGCCATCATTGCCAGCACTAACTTCGGTAAGTTTAGATATCGAATGTCTAGCAAAGAGGGCTGTCTCTTGTAATTTATTATAAAAATGTGACAGAATAATAGTTTGTAAATTGAACTATTTTTCGCAAAATATTCTTCTGGAAGCACAATATATATCTTACTCAAATCTTGTTCACATTTAAAATATATTTCCCCCTTTTCTAAAAGCAAATAAGGTTAGGGTGAAGTAATTGCTGCGTATCAGCTCATACAAGTCACCAAATAAACCAAATGTCTTATCTGTTCTCTTCCCCATCTTCTTTTTCTTCGTCGTCTTCTTATTTTTTTTTCTTCTTCTTCTTAATTTTCTTATTCTTATTTTTCTTTTTCATTCCATGCATTATTTTATTCGACGAGACCCCGCGTTACCCATCGCATAGCAAGTAAACCTAAGAACTATCCGAAATGTTCTAACCAAACATTTTTGCTGTTTTAAGTACGCAAATTTTGCAAATCAAAAACAACCCAAACTGTTTAAAACGGTTGATAACGAGGTTTGCTGATTAGGCCTCTAAGATTGCCCGAATTCTTCTAGTTCGACCACTAGCAAATTAAGTTAAAACCACAAGATTTCTTTGCAGTTCCTTTATTGTAAACATAGAGTTGACTAAATATCTCTATAAGTAATGAAATTATTCTCCTGTAAGCACATATATAGTTTACTCTGTTTAACTTTAACTCGAGGTTATCACTACCGAGCTCCAAACTCAACTGAATATGTCAGCAGTACGCGCACTGCTTTTATGTAACTAGATATTTATTGCATTTGTCTCCTAGAAGATTCTGTTTAAATGTTCTCGATAACGAGCTTTTGATACACATTAGAAACTGCTTTAGTTTTCGACCTCTCCTCATGACGACTCTTACAAAATGACAAACACACAATGTTAAGAGGTTGACTGAAAGGAGGTGATAAAACAATACCAAATGCACTCAAAATAGTACAGGGTTTTCCAATAAAAGGGGTTGTTTTGATATTCAAGGAATATTAAATTTTTTGATATAAAGGATGCGATGTTTATTTCAATCCAAAGAGAAAGAACTCCCATTAATAACAGAAAACAATACCTGCCAAATGGACGCCACGGCAATGCTTACAGGATTGTCTCTTTTTATGAAATTGTGCATCATCAAACCTCAAAGAGCCTGCTTTATGGCCTCAAAACCACAATTGAGGTCTTGAATCGACATTGAATTGATATTTCACGTTGCCACAAAGGAAGTAGTTGAAAGATGTTGTATTGCACAATCTCGGTGGCTCATTGCGATCACCTTTTCGAGAGATAACACGGTCCGGAAACTATTCCCTTAAGGGATAGATGGTTTTGTCTCTTGCGTTGCACGCAACGTCCTTTTGTTGAAAGTAAACTTTTTTCAGGTCCATCTAACTCCGGCTTTGTAGCGCATTATGGATTATTCACTGTTATTACAGCCACAGTCATATTTTTGAAAAAGTAAGGTTCGATGACCCCGCTGGACTATCAACCGCACCAAAGAGTTTCGCGTTGGGCAGCCTCTCCATGCACACTAAATCGTGGGATTCTTGACATTTTTGCGAATTGATGCAGCCATCGAAGTGAAAATGGACCTTATTAGTCAATATGACTGTTAGATGGAATAATTTTCGTGCATTTCAGGGACCCAATCAACATTGTTGATGATCGGCCTGCTTAAGTTCTTATGTAAATTGAACTCTATAAGTCTTATGCAAAATACGTTGTAATGTGGATTGTATTATGCCTAATTCCGAAGAACGAGGAGTAAAAGACAGACCTGGGTTTTCTTCAGCATTTTGGGCTGCAGCAGCAATAGTCTCAGTTGTTATTGAGTGACGTTCACCTATTTTATTCTGCACATCACCAACTTGTGACAACAACTCCACTTTTTCCAACAATTTCTATGAGTATTGCGGTCCGACAAGGTGTTTCCCGACTACAGAAAATTGTCTTTAATTTTATGAACCACCTCTACTGGGTTTTCACAATTTCTATAGGGAATTCAAATAAATTTCAAAGAGCTGCTGCAGTGTGTATCGTTCCATTTCTATTACTGATGAAGTCTTTGTTTGTCAAATGCCAAAAAGTTACAGCTTCCTAAGTGACATCTGCCCGAACAGCAGGCTATTCGAAATAACACCTCTTATTGGAAAACCCTGTATAGATAAAAATATATGATAATTTTCAAGATTTCCTATTTTAATATTAAATTTTCTTACAGATCTTACGTTTTACTGGTTCCCTGATTGCCCTGGTAAAATCAGTTGTTTAGTGGATTTATGAATGTTTATATTGGTATAATAAAGAAATTATTTGGTTTTGAAATATAAAAACACATTTAAATATCGATAAACTGACGTTTTTCTTAAATCAACTCCAACATTATTAAATTAATTTCGACTTGCTGATTTCTAATAAAGTTTCGTGAAACATAAAATTCCACCACCTTGCAGGTGAAATCCAACTAGTATGCGAAAATTCTTGTTTAATACTAGTATGTTGAAGGTGAAGTCATACCAGTTCTGATCGTTGCAAAGGCATGATAGCCGAGTGGTTAGAGGTTATCGCAGTAGCGCGCTAAGCCCCCGGTTTTTCTAAAATTTGGTAAATCCAAAATTTTTAGTCTTTTTTTTTTAATTTTTGGTGAAACCGAAATTTTCACCTCCACGTCATTCGTATGTTGTTTTTGGCCTTAGTATGACACGGCTGAGTTTCATTTCCTAAAAAGTTCTGTTGAAGGGCGCAGATTTCGTTTCTCCATATATCACCTTGCGTTAGGGTTCGATTCTCTCAGCCGGCAAACAGAGTTTTATTTGATTTAGTTGTTTTTTTTTTTTTTTTTTTTGGTGAATTAGTATGAACCTGATGCATTGTAGTTCAATTGTCAGCTCGTAGGACATCAGGACATTGCCGTGTTAAAAATACCAGTTGCTAACATGGAAAATAGATGAAGCTGAACCAGTTGGTGTTCACCTAAATGCATGTCCGAAATATCAAGATACCGGTCTTCGAACTAAACTCTTGGTATTCTAAAAGAGAGATTTTATCTGTCCGATAGTTCGGTTTTGCTTACTTGAAGCTACTTTATCTATCACTTCTATCCAGGGCTGATCATTACCCGATGTAGTGGTGTGAAAAAATATAAAAAACGTATCCTGGGTGAAAAATAGCTGTAAGACTTAAAGGTTCTGAATCCGAGTCTTATACTTTTCAATCTTTTATAAAATCTTTATCTGAAGGCCAAGATTACGGAGATTTCGCATAGATACATTTAACTTAGTTCTATAACACTTGTACTATGGCCTCCTCAATATGGTCTAATTTACAATTTCTGTCTATAATATGACTAACACGATCTTGTGGAAACCGCGCGGACAACTTTTTTAGACCAAAGTCGAAATAATTTATTTTATATAAGTAGTAAAATATGAGTAAATGGTGTCAAGAAAACTAATATTTAAGAAGATTCAGTCGGATCTTACGCCCCAAGCTCACATTGTGATTTTATATTTATTTATTTAATTTTTAATAATAATAACAAAGCATTAGTACAATAAGATTTCCATATCTTTTTTAGTACAACAGAGATAGTGTGAATAATAAGTAAATATTACTTTANGTGCTCATATTTATTTAAAAAGTAAACTGACGAATATAAGCACAAATACACAAAGTTATACAAGAAAATCAGCTTCAACAGGTAGACAAACAAACAAACTGTCTCACTGAAACAATACCAAGAATTTTTATTTAATATGCCACCGAAACAGTATTAAACTCTCGAGCGTAGACAAAACACGTCCGGCCGCAATGACTTCACATTTATCTACAGAAATATTAGCGTATTCTCTCAAAATCACCTTTGAAGGAAATGCCACATTTAGTCACCTCAAATATCGCTACTGTAAGTGATAGTGTAGCTGTACACCTGAATGTGTCTATATCTCGACGTTCTCAAGAGCGATGGCTTTCTGACGATGCAGAGTATACTGAATTTATGGAGGGCACACTTCTCAGGCTGCTGTACGGCAGTGAAACACCCGGAGATGGTGAACCCGAAATCCCAATCGATGGCAATGGAACAGATGTTCCTCTATCTGACCATGTCGAGCGTTGTGTGTGAAATACTAAAGCCCACCGTCAACAAACTAATTTCGTCGATTTCAAAGCAGCCTGCGACAGCAAGAAAAAGAGCAGCCCCTACGCCGCTATGTCTGAATTTGGTAACGCCGCAAGACTCTGTAAACTGACGCTAGACAGTTCGGTATCAAAAGAAGTTTCAGACAGGGTGACTCTTTGTCGTGTGATTTATTCAATTTGATGCTGGAGAGAATAATAAGAGCTGCAGAGCTGAATAGAGAAGGCGCAATCTTTTATAAGAGTGTACATTATTGGCCTCAACAACCGCGCTTTTAGTACTGCTTTCTCCAGAATTAATTAAGAAGTGAAGTGAATGGGTCTGGTAGTGAACGAGGACAAGACGAAATATCTACTGTCATACAAACAGTCATCGCATTCGCGACTTGTCTTCCACGTCGCTGTTGAAAGTCATAATTTTGAAGTAGTAGATAGTTTGGTCTACCTAAGAACCAGCATCAACACCAACAAGAACCCCTTTAGCTACCAGGTGCTACTTTGGACTGAGTAGACAATTGAAAAGTAGAGTCCTCTCTCGGCGAACGAAAACCAAACTTTACAAGTTGCTCAACATATCCAACTGGCGCCAAACAGCGCAGAAAAGGGATGAATGACGCACTCTAATTAATGCTGCTATAATCGCGTAAGCGGTGCCAACGCCAATAAAGAAAAAGAAGTTTAGAGCATTCGCAACGCCGTTCATATATCGATTGAGTGCTTGAACAAAAAGCAGTGGACGGCAACAAAATTTCCTTCATTTATTCAGCGACGAGACACATTTCACATTCGGGGGATACGTTAATGATCAAAACTGTCGTATTTTGTTCTCCTAGAATCCTCAAATAATTGAATAGAGGTCAATACACTCAAAGAAAAGGAAACCTGTTTGGTGCACTCTTTGTTTCATGTTTGCTTAAATTCGCGAGGCGGTCTTTTGCATGAAGAAGACATGCACATATAATGCCGAGGTTCAAATTTTACCGTTAGCTTTCGAAACCGTAAAATGGATTACCCTGTATGAATATACAAATGCAATATCTTGCCTTGTTTCAAATTGGTATTCCCACAAAACTATTATCATGGCTTAGCAACACCAAAGTCACCTTTAAAATCGACAGAAACCTCTCCGAGCCTATAATAAACGGTGCTTCCGACAAATTTACTTTTTACTCTCTGTAGAAGAAGCAGAATAGCTGGGTTCCGTTCGTGAGATCAGATGAAAAAGAAGCTGACCTCATTTGTTAACTAAGCATTGGCGCTGTAGTCACCACTCCTATGCCAGAATTAACTTATACTGACCTTATATATAACAGATACCTTAAATAGATCGGTTTAAAAATTTCTCCGACATCCTCACTTAGATGGGTTTCATTCAATTGCACATGCATACATATTTATACCGGTGTCTGTGAAGCATCTTATCAATTGTTCAACTAACCCACAAAAAATACTCCACCTACCGACAACACAGGACCGGAGCACGTGGACAAATCTGCTATGACTGGGATAGGGTAAAATTTTTCACAACTTGAAAGTGAAAAACTACTTTCCGCTCGCCTATTGACGTTGTGATGCGTTTCCGCCTACTGATTGAAACTAACTATTATACGATTTTGTAATAAATTATTCAACATATTGCACAACAACAACAGCAAGATTGCACAATGCAACACAACATTTAAGCGCATCGTTGTTGAAATGGAGCCGCCGAGGCAATCATCCATCGTTTAGTGCGAGCATATAAAATAAATAGGCCATATGTATGTGTGTATATGTGCGCATGTGTGAGTGTAAGAGCCTGTGCAGCAAATTGCCTTTGTCACAAGTCTTATCACACTGTGGAGCTCCTACATAACTTTCGGTGTGCAATCTCATATGAAAACTCCTTTTTATTAGGGTGCCCCAACTACAATATATCCGTGTGCTCAAGTGGACTTACACTTTTTTTACTTCATGCATCAGACAAATTCTTAAAATAGCTAATAAAACAAAGTTGAAAATTACTTAACCCCTCTTGGCGTGCAAGAAAAACCTTAGCTTGACTGCCCTAATGTGCATCTGTAAGCCTTTCATAGCTAAAGAACGTAAACAAATAAAGAGAAAAAGTTGTATAAACAAAATCTTTTCACATTTCCACATCGTCAGTTGGCTTGAATAGGCACTATTCACAAAATGCCGCCGCTTGAACGCTCCCAACAACCACCCTACCAACAAATGGACGCTTCTGCGTTCCAATGTACTGGGGTGTTTGTACGGCAGCTTTCTAGACGCAGCGGTCAACAAGGTCGCCATCACGGTAATCTGTATGGACTTTTATTGATTTCAATGAAAAGATTTGTTTGGCTGCATACAAATACTTATATATAGATATGAGTATATTCATATATAGAAATGTGTGTGCGAGCGTATATGGGAATTTAGCTTTATTCCAGTTGGTCCATTGAAAGTGCTTGTTCGTATGTATGAATGTGGGTTGGAGGTAATATTTTTCGCATTGCAGTCATTAAGTGAATATCTTGCCAATAAATAACTTTCAACTAACAAAAGCAATGAGGCTGTACTGCAACTGATTGGTGCAGTTTTTATGACCGTCTCCTTTGAGTGCGCCAGGCATATTAAATTTATAAAAAAAAGTTAAACTAAATAAATAAAAAATATAAACAAATCGATATAATATTATGAAACAAAATAAAACAAAACGAATAAAAAAGAAATCCAATGAAAATTAAATGAAATCGAAATAAAATAAAAATATATAAGCTAACCAAAAGAAAATAAAATAAAATAAAACAAAGTAAAATAACAAATTAAAAAACAAAAGAATTAAAGTAATCAAAAACAATATCAAATAAATTTAAATAAAAAAAAATTAAAATGAACGAAATAAATAAATAAAAAAGTTTAAAATAATATCACATTAAATATGGTAAAATAAAAAATATAAATAAATAGATAATCAAATAATATAAAATAATTAAAATAAAAATAACTAAAAAAAAAATAAAATAAAAAAATTATATTAATTTTTATAAAACAGAGCAAAATAAAATTAAATTCATACATAAAAGGTAATAAAACTAAAAAAATGAAAGACAAAAATAAATAAAGTAAAATAAAATAATTAAATGGTCCTGA